TCGGCACGAATTTCGTCTTCGAAAATCGTCTTCGCCAACAAATTCGTCTTCGCCCTCGGAGCGGCAGGGTGCAAAAATTGTCTTCGAAAATCGTCTTCGCCGACCCTGCAAATCTGACCCCCCCTGCCCCGTGTCAATGGAACAACCATTTCATTTCCTTACTGGTTCCCAATAAAGAATAAGGGAATATGTTGTACAGGGAGTATATTCCCTTCTTCCCTACTAAGAACCTGTAAAACGTCATTTCTCTATTTCAGAAGCACTGTCGGATGCGGTATCCATCTATTGCCCAGACATTCGTACAATGTCATGGTCAAAAAATCGTGCTGGGATGTTGTGGCATGAACCATGGGAGATGCATGGAGACAAACATTCCATGTAACACGAAGGAATACAACGGAACATGTTACTACAGATACGGACACGCGGCACTGCAGGGCTACTTGCAGTAACTTCGCATGCGTATACTCCAAATGTGAGAATATGCACATGGACAAGTACATAACTGCGTAGGAGTACAAGGTATAAGGACAAGCTCCGTCATCAGTGGCGATCACCATGCCCCCAGTGCCTGAAACCCACGCCTGTGCCATACAGTATTTTTTGTGGGAAACATGCTGGAAAGCCCTCCTCACATCTGCAGTAAGCGGCGCGTTCACCAGCCAAGCTGCTGCTTTAATGGGACACCAGGCATGTTCGTAGCAGGCACCGAAGCTGACGAACCGCAATGAAGACAAAAACATACAAAAACACCACGCGGTCACATAGTAAACAAATGAAAGCGTGCAGCTTGACAGACCCTGCTTCATATGCTGGCCCTGCTCTACACACAGGAACCTTACTGACTCCAATTTTGCTTCCAATCTGCAGGTCACTGCCCAGTACAACAGCTCTCGCAATCATAACCACTCAAAGCAACTCTGTTTGGACCTCTTAGACAGAGACACACAAAAAGAGTTACGATCGCACGCTGCTCGGGTTTCCAAAAATCTCTATTCAACTGTGAAGCCGACAGAAAAGAAAAGTTTCCATGTAAAACAAGGCTTGGGAGTTGTATTGTTCCTTGGATCTCCCGACCAATATCAAGAGTCTGAAGAAAAGAACAGTACGAACATGTACGAACATCTGATCGGAAAACAATAGGGTTGGCTTTGCACTGAGACTCCAACAGCTGCCATGAGCCTTGAGACTGCAGGGCAGTCTGGGCAGGTGTCCGTGTGCATCCACCAAACCATTCCCAGCACGAACCAACCATACCTCAGAGTTCACACAGTGGCGCAGCATCTGGGAGCTTGACTGATTGACCCAAGTCGCTGCAACACGGCAAGTTTCTTGCTAAGCTTCCAAGCCTCACATCAGCTCAAAAGAAGACACCTTCGTTCAAACGATCAATTAGTCTAGGCCCCCATCTTTGGACGAGGTCAATTGCGCAACACGATCCTGAGGAGAGCAGAAAGACCATTTGAAATCAATGCCGATTGGCACTCCGATGCACTCCAAGCGGCCTCCAAGTTGGCTCTAGACTCCTGTCTCAGAGGAGAAAAGAACAGCCACTCTTGCTTTAGAACGGCAACCGGCACTTTCCTGGAAACGTGACACAGAGGAAAAAACACTATTTGCAAGAGCTTCCAGAATCACGGGCACGTTTCCGGGTTCAGCTGACTGGCAAATGCACGCAAGATTACGCATGAAGCAATGCAGGTTGGCAAAATCTGCCAAGAACTTGACAGCGAGGGCTGTGAGCGATGAGAGGCTTAGATTTGCAAATGAACGTGCGTCACTTGGTTGAACTACCCGGGAGCTCTTCTTGGTAGAAAACGTCTTCACCGTTAGCAGCACGGCGACCTGCATGCGTCATTACGGCCCATGGGAGCTCACGCAGCAACAGTGCGTTGCAACTCGAGAATGCTACTGCGCGGCATGGACGTAGATGGAGGTTGCTGACCGAAACCCGGGTCTCTGTTTCCCAGCTTGACTCACGACAGCTGCAAATCCGAGCAGCGTTGATTGTTTAGCAAACATATTATATCTGAAAGCCAGCGGATCGTGGTTTCGCAGCATCGTTAGAGTGTGTGATCACCACTCCTTGGCTGAGGTGAGGGCAGATGGTTGGGCGACATAACGCTGTCATCATAGTATCTTGTCAGCTGGTTCTGAAGGCCAACTGGGAATGCCATCATGCAGCATCTCCGGTGCGAAAGGAATGCCGTCTGAAACTTCCTCTCTTTGAGTGTGGCTGGCGAGGAATACGAGGAATACGGACAGGCACCAAACAAGAAACTCCCAATGTGCCATCTGCCAAACAACATAGAGCTCCCCGCAATCCCGCCTGCCGGGAACTACGTCTGCGCAGGCCACATGACCAGCACATGCTACCCTGAATCTGCAAAGGCTGCAAATCAACCGAAAACTTGAAATCTAAAGAGTCACGAATTCAGGAAGAAAACTCCGTCCAGCAAAGGGATTACACAAAACATGTTGGGTTGGGATATGTTTTTCGGGGCATGTTCCAGGGGATGTCTTGGGTTTGTGGTGGGTACCCAAATCTTGTTTAAAGTGATGTTTCGCGCCCATGCTGGATTGTGAAAAGGGTATTTGCTTCCTTGAGGACATTCTTTGCGCATCATTTTTGGCAAGACTCCGGGAGAACATTTCCGGTGCATTGGTTTCTGGTGTCTTTACTCTGTACAAAGGCCACTCAATTGAACCATCGCTCTGATTTCCTGAAACCATGAGCCCTGAATCTCTATGCCGATTGGGAAATGGGCAGATCATGGACGAGGCGCCACGACATCCAAGTTGCTGCTTGTCTGTCTCATGCGCCCCATATTCGAAACTCGCGCGAGTTATCCGCAGACTGATCCCTGTTGAACGCCAGAATCCCATGCACCCCGCTTGATATCTGCTGCGATTGGCTTCGCATTGCTAAAAACAAGTGCTGAAAGCTTGGAGCGGATTTCAGTCGACCCAACCAGCTCTCCAGGTCCCAGAAAAACTGCAGCGGACTCTTGGAAAACAAACTCATAGAATCATAGAAAACTGTGGAAAACGGTCAAGCTGTCGGATTGAGCAGGATAGAGAGCAGAGCAATCAGAAGTACTGCCTGCAGTAGACGGAGCCTTATCTGCAGATATCCAAACAAGGTCAAGTGCATACGAAGCAGGAACTGCACACCATCCTTCACGACATCATGCCTCCACTTGGATCATGCTGTGTAGCAGTACAAGCCGGACTGGCCTTAGAAATTGCAAAACTTGGCTCCGTCGAAATCCCAGCCCACAAGGTCAAGCCGCACTTGGTTCAGAGCAACTGCGCAAGTTGAAGACACGCTTGTAGGAGAAGCCACCATCTCAGTATGTCAAAAATCAATTGATGTGAAGCGTGGCTGCTTCAAGGCTGCTAGTCTATCCCGACCTCAAAGGACGGTCGCATGTAGCACAGCTGTGCCAATTCGTCCAGAGGAAGGCCTCAGACAAGGGGGGGTGATCCGCTGAAGGTGGCTCGGCTTTTTTCGACTAGGGAGACCGCGCCAGAGACTGTCGCAGATATTGCATTGCCGGTGGAACCTTCTCGTTCAGTAAGCTCACGCAGGCAAGAACTGCAGCAATCGAGCACAGAGATGTTTGGGGAGTTGGCTGAAGAGGGATGTGGTGTAGAGGAGACGAGTGGCTGCTGCAGGGTTTCGGCGCACCACCTGCAACACATAAAGAGACGCTGAAGAGCTGCATACATCTTGACCGCGGTGAATCTTTGCAGCGCGGGTCGCCAAACGAAGCCCAAAAGCCACGCTTGCGTGGAGCATCATGGAGCGGCGCTAGCATCAGCGTTGCATTTTGACACCATCTGTCTGCTTGGTATGCACTTCACCTGCGTCTCTCATCCCCTCAACCTCCTAACATCTCAGTCTAGTGAGCCTGTGCTTCTTGATCTCGAAAGATGGTTTTGATAGTCCCCTCCAGATTGCCTCTGCTTGCCCCTACAGGCATTCCCTGTACCCAACCGCGGCCGGGGCAAAGCGGTCAACGAGCACTTGGGCACTACTATGTAGGCAGTGTGGTCTTTGAAAAACCTGTACCTCAGTATGGACATCCTAGGCTGTGCTATGTAAGGCGCAGGGAAATGAAAGCTCCAGGCCGAAAACTCTTACAGAATTCAACATCGCAGGAATACAAAGCAACAAAGAAGTCTTCTGGGTGATCATTGAGTCAACATTTTCTTTGCGGTAGCCATTTATGGTTCAATTGTATGTGAACACGCTCCGGCAGGGTCCAGAGTCTAGCGCAAGCGCCGGAACTGTGTGACGGGCAGCGCCGAATCCATACAATATCACCCTGCCTCCACTAGATTGTCCTGGACACCGGATTCAGTCCCACTTCCAAAGAAGAAGGGAACCGCCTGATCGGATAGGCGCAGCCTGAGTGTTCAAAGCTCGTTGAACACCACTTCGTATGGTCCGGCAACACCAAGGCCCTTACCAGGCTCGCCGAAATAAGCGCTGCTTGGCAGGCGCAGACCTCAGCCGAAGCGGCATCCACCACATTTGCACAGATTCTCACACAATTGTCGCAAGCTAAGCCGCACGCAAGAGGCTCTCCCGATCAGTACTTACAAACATGGACTGCCTCAAAGAGCACAGCACAGGCGGAAGAACCATTGTGAGAGCACCACGCCCCAGATTTTGAGAAACATGAGTGCAGCACATTCGCGTCACTTAAAAGTTGGCAGAAAAAAGAGCAGCTGTGGCTCACTTGAGCCAACTCAACGAACGCAACGGCACAGCTCTGTGCTCTTGTCCATCACCCGGACTGCCAGCTGAAGCTGCTGCTTGGAGCTGGGCACTTACCATTTTTGTGCGAGATGACAGACTCACAGCTAATTGCTGTAATTGATGCCTTTGTGAAACACCTGGTATACCTGTGACAATGATTCCACGATGCACTTTGCGAGGACTGCGATTGCCGCAAGCTCTGCGGGCTTTCCTCGAACTAGGGTGCCCTTTCTCAACGGCGGCGTGCCTGGAACGAGGCTTGCGGAGGGGAAGGGCAGACTCGTGGTAGATGCAGAAAACCACGAGGCAAGGGCTGCACCCGGCAGATTGATGGCCTTGATCCGAAGGTGGATCTTGTCAGCCATAGCTTGGTACCTCTGTGCTGAGCTTTGCAGCTTTGTTGGATAAGCTTTGGATGCTTCAGCTCAGCTCGCCACTGCTCGCGCTGACTGTCAGGCAGTTCTCTGTCTTGCAATTTTGTCAGTATAGTCCTTGTTGGGCTCTTAGAGCAGCCATCCCAAAACAGGAGACGTCTAAGCCGCGAACTGTAGCGTCTTGGTCAAGTCTCCAAGGAGATGGACCTGCCAAGGGCGGACATGGAATCTAAATGGACACTCAATGTACACTCATAGCTAACATCCTGAAAGTTGCTTACACTCGCAAAGTATCATGGAACCACATGTTATGACAAAGGTTTAAAAATTCTTGTTCTTAATGGTAAAAATGGATTGAGAAGACGCACCCAGAGGCCTTCTGGGCTTCAGCGCTGTGAGGTGCTGGCAATGTGTACTGTGAGGCACGCGCAGCTGGCACCTGAACAGTAGCAGCGCAGGAGCCAGAAACTTCATGCAGTTCCTCACTGAAGCCGCACCTTCGCGGCAACCTCAGCGAGCTAATTCCATGTCAGCAACTGTATTTGCAAAGGCAGGTGCCGTCTAACACGTCAATGCTCTCAGGCCCTGGCCTTTGAGACTGCAGTGCTGGTTGGTGCCTGCACAACGCACAGTCACTTCTAATAATGGAAAGTAAAAGCAACAGCTACCCACTGGCAGTCCTCAACATTCAGCTTCAGCTTACTGAGATATGCAACCATCCCAACTAGTCTACGGGCTTGCAGCCGCAATTTTGTTTCACCTCCGACCCTGATTTGGGTCACCTGCGAAGCCCAAGCTTCATTGGAAAATGGAATGTGGTTGGCCTTCGCAGGGGGGGCGGCATCGAAGTTGGGATTGGGCTGCAGCACAACACGGCTGGTGACGGCCACATGCGGACCTAGGCTTTGCAAGACAAGCCGTGAGAGGCACCACTGTGCACCACTGAGTCGAGGCAGGAAAAATTAGTTATGAGCCGGAGCTGTAATTTCCCCGACGGACGGTCTTTGGTCCGACAGGCGAAGCCTTCCCGCTGTGTGCGGAGTCTTGGGGCAAGAATACCGCTTTCCGCATGCAACGTCCCCGTTGTGCCACGCCTCTGCAGTCTTGCTTGCCATTCGCAAGCCATTTGCCTCATCCACGGGAGGACCTTTGCTGATGCAACATCTCAAGCCCACTCAAGTTAGTGTGCACCAACCTCAAGTAGAGGCCAAGTTGCCCCAAAAATCTACTGGCTGAGAACCTGACGGAAAATGTGAAACACGCCACGCAGCAAACACAACTCACCCGGCCTTTGCCATTGAGCGTCGGCGTACGAAGCTTTGCTGGCCTGGAAACATGATTTGCTGCTCGTTTTCTAGGGTTTGGGACCTGTGTGTGTGTGTGTGTGTGTGTGCGCGTGTGTGTGTGTGTGCGCGTGCGCGCGGGTGTGTGTGTGTGTGTGTGTGTGCGGTCTCTCAACCAGCGCCATATGTGCAGAGAAGTCCCTGCATTTCGCATGCACTAGACTTTGTGCCTCTTGTCTTGAGGCAAGCGCAACTGTCCGCCAGGAACAAATGACCACTTGCAATCCTATGCTGTGTTGCAAAATACGCTCGGTGATTCAGTATGAACAACAAACAGCATTCAGCTGAAGATGTCCTCCACCCACTGTACAAAGTCGTCCAGAAAAGCCTTCAGAGGGCATGGGAGTGGTCAGGATTGAAACCAGCTGCTTTCAGAACAGTGCTGCGTGGTTCCATCTGTGTGAACGACGAATTGTCCTAGCTTGATTGCTAGCTTGAAAGGCAGCAGATACCGAGCTCATACCTATACAGACCAAGCGTTTATGTGCCTAGTCTAGCCTCACCTCCGGGCTAGTCTCGCTTAGTGCAAGGGGGCAATGCACGTCGCCTTGTCCGAAAAGAATGCCTCCAACTCCCCAGACAAATGTTCGGGGCCTTCAAGATCAGCTAAAGATGCTCACTGCAAACTAAGTGAGAACAAAAAAGCTTACCGACCTTTGTTCATCTGTGCCAGCACAACAATGTACTCAGCCAGGACCTCTGCAGCTGTGACCCCAAGGCTATTTTGCCCTGCAGTTTAAAAACTGAGGCTGCTTAGATCCTCTGCCTTGGGTTCGACGTCTTTGTCACAGAGAGACCGAAGCTTTTCCAAAACAGCTTCCTGGAGGTTGCAATGAGACAACACGGACAACACGTGAAAATCTGATTGCTCTACTCAGCGTTGCTGACAAACCAAGATCCTGCAAGCCCGTCTGGTTCAGGTCGGAGAGTTCCTTACACCGACTCAGGCTTGTCCTTTCTGCAAAACAAACCTCTCAAATGACTGCTGCGATGTCAGGTGCGCTCATGCAGTGTAGACTTGGAGAGATGGAGGATTATCCGGACAGATTCGCCGAGGAAGATATCAACTGATTTTTGGAGATCCCTCTGGACCGGACCCTTGCACTGTGCTGGATGATCGCCAGGCAGCACCGATAGCTTCTTGCACAGTCAACTTCAGGCTACCAGTGACTAATGTCTGGTGATCACACGCATGTCATGCAATCAATCCTCCCCAACCCATCCTGACAATAAAGCATGTTAAAACGAGGACCTATAGAACTGTTTGGAGAGCGTCGCAAAACGCCGCTTTGGATTGGGTAGCAGGAGCTTGAATTGCAGAACATTTGCCATCTGAGATCTATTGAGCCATACATCCACAACATCTAATGGTTCATCAACTGCATGTAGCTGTAGCTTCGCTGGTACACTTCATCAGGACCTACAAATCGAGTAAGGATGAAAAATTCGTGATAACGCAGTCTGAAGATGAAGTCGAATGACGCTTGCCTTGCGACTAGTTTCCGCCTGCAAGATTTGAAGGCGTTTATTTCCGCGCCCTGAAAAACAATAGAAACATGTTTAGAATTGGTTTCAATTGGTTCTATACATTCTATATAGTTTTGATTCATTTACAAATGATGTTAAGTCACTTTTACCTCATGTCTTGCTGAATACCCAGATTTAAAGACATTGCTTTGGGCCACTTTGGATGTCGATGAGCTCTTGAAAGGCAAATGCATTATTGGATCGAAAGCCTGCTAGGCTTGAAGAAACTCATTTTCAGACCCTGAAAACATTGCAAATATCTAGGAATATTGTTGAATGGATTGTTGATTGGACCTAAATGGATTTGGAGGCTAAATTGAGAAGGAGAAAAGGACGGCTGATTCTGAAACCCGATTTGCTTACTGAAGTTTATTACGAATTGAAGGCTCAAACATTGCTTCCTGAGATACCCTTTACGGAGCTTGCTTGTGTGAGATGGCCCTGTATAGAAAACCCCTCGGAGAAAAGCTCCGGAAGCATTTCCCGGAAATCACTTGTTTATAGTGACCTGCTATTGCAAGGGGTGGAACCCCCTTGCTGTTGAAGAGCTCTGATTACTTATCTTCAGCTTCTTCCCCGTCGTATCAGGACTTTAAATCCGATGCAGGCGAACCTTTGCAGAAAATGCGGAGCAGAATGGTTGGGTAGGTTCAAGTTTGCACTGATCTAAGGCGGGCACTGGCTGCGACGAACCCATGGTGGGTGGCGGCGCCTGAAGGCTGCAGTTCTCGCACTTGCGGCCTGGGATTCCCTTTTAGCACAACTCTCAGGCTCTGTCCGGAGCAGAAGTTGCTGGCTTGGGATCCTCGGACTTCTTTGGCTTGGCCTTGCTTGGCGGCTGTTCTCAATTGGTTAGCCCTTTTGGAGAAGCTTCTGGAGGCGCACTGGAACTGGTTCTGCCGATGCTTTCTTCGTTTTGGCCTCATGACTGCACCGCTGATACAACCTGTTGCTGGCCCCATCGAAGTACCATGCATGGGGCTGACCCCGGTTTAGGGAAGCACCTTTTCAGGGAAGGTGGGTCCATCTGTCGCAGCCTTCTTTGCCTTGGCCTCGTATGCAAAGCTTTCTCTGTCTCAGGTGGCACGTGCAAAGGCATCAAGGTGCTAGCAGCTGGTGGTGCCGCAGCAAGCGTCTTCTTTACCTGCAACAGCAAAGGCAAAGGCTTCCATCTGTAGAGATCAAATCAAGTGACACATGGCGGCTGGCCTTTTTCGGAGAAGCTGCTTTGGGCCTGATCTGGGCTGCTATGGGCTGCTGAAGTGCTCCAATCCAGAGGTGCCCAGGTAGCTTGAACAGTGCTTAGACTTCAAAACTCCGGCATCAGGAACATGAAGAATGTGTGCCTCTTAGTAACCTTCGGCGCAGGAGGAGGTGGCACCTTGGAGTAGGCAGAATCATGACACTAATGACCCCCGTGACTTGGGTGCAATATCATGGCCTCCCATCAGGTTGCATGGAATACTATGAGCAGAAGAGATGTAATCCTCTTCGACAAGCTTTTCCCAGAGACGTCACGCCAACAGTATGCCTCTATGATCAAGTCACCTGAGGGCTCTGTGCCCCGAACAACAGCAGGCGCCATCATTGGTGAGGGACTTCGAGATGGGCTACTGCTCCTCCAGACATCTGCTGAGCGACGTCTATGAGGATGTGACTTTATGTGACTGTCCACAACTACCGGCCTGCTCTCCGAGGCAGAAGATTCGGAATCATCACTGGCCACGGGATCAACGCGAGCTGTACAGGGAAATGAAGATCGAAGGCTTCCCAGATTGCCGCAGAAATCCGCAGACTGCAAGCAGGAGAAGCAAGAGGGTGCCTGGCTTAAGGCGGCTCACCTCTGGAGATCCTAAGCAGTCAAGCCTTGAAAATCCTGAAACGGCACTGCTTCAAATCAAAGACCTTAAGCACCGCACTGGCTTTGGGCGAAAGATGCGCCGGACTCGCGGCCTCGTCCACAGAAGGTTTGGCAACATTCGCAGGAATTCCGCAGGCACAGCCTGTAGTTCCACCCGCTCCATGTTGGAGCCTTGCAGACAAGAATTGGACACCCAATTGACTTCATTCCCATCTGAAGTCGAGAAGCGCTCTGGACGCTGCGAGTGTCCGAGATATTCCAAGAGTCTGCCTGAACATAGACATTAGTTCTCGTAGAGCAATCAAGATCTGAAACTGCCTGCAGTGCCGCCAGGAATTGGTGCTGGCTTTGATTTCGGCTTCGACTTCGTCGCGCGGCCTTACAGCATCGACAAATGAACTAACGGGCCTTTTGTTTGCTTTTGAGGTGCTCGCCCTTCTCCTTCTGCGCTGCCTGCAGACAGACTCTCGATGACTTACTCCAAGTAAAGACTGCGTTGCCTGCCTTCTCCGCTGCCGCCTGAAGGTCTCAAATCCACAAGCTTCCCAAAAGGTACACCAAACAAGGTTCAACTGCACTTTGTTGGGATATGGATGGATTAAGTCATACTAAGTCAGCGCTGGCCTGTGCCTTCACCAGGACCACTTTGCGGCGCTTCCGGCCGCGCTCTGGACTTGCAGAAGCTGAGCGCTTCGAGCCTCAAAACGCTCAAGATGTCAAGACGGCGTTACTGGCTGATCTGGGTCCACCGGGGTGTGGGCGAGCCATGTGGCTGAGTTGAAGCTCGCTTCTAGTTTCAAGGCGATTGGCTAAGTCCGAGCCTTCAAATGGCTACAATAATCATTTGCTGAAGGTTGCATCTTCAGAGTCCAAATGTGCAAGAAAAGGATAAGTCTAGCAGCAGTCCCTACAAAGCAACTTTCAACCTGCAGCATGCAGGAATGTGCACGCTTCATGTGAAAACCAAACTTCCGAAAGGCCATTCGAACTACCCATAGCCGCAGAAAGCTGAACAACAGGTGGTAAACCTGCTGTGACTTGAGGCATGACATTGCTCACCTTTCTGCAGCTGGAAGGCTTATCAGCCTTTGGTGTAAGACTAGTGCTATGCAACCTCTTGGGGAACGCTCTACAAGGCACAACTGCAGATGCGGCAACACATGTACAGCTCTGATCCTAGACTTGAACTCGTGTATGAGTTACTTCATAGTTGCCCTATCTGCAGCAAATATGGAGCCTGAATTGAGCGAACTCATGAGCTCTCCCATCTATGCACAGGCAAGCTTGCACTGCAAGTTGTCATATGAGCAGTAGCACAAATAAGCTTGAATGAGAATCGATCTGTGGACTTGCTTTTTCAATGATGACAACAAGTGAATGTAAAAGTCCATGCCAGCTTCTTCAAGCTAGCGGGATTGCATTCCGACGTAGCAGGGTCAGGCGTGACAGCGTCGGGCGCTCAGAGCAATCTGCTCTTCGTTAACAAGGTCTCTTCAGCAAAGCCCGGCTTTGCCAAAGACTCTTACCTGCAGGTGCACTTCACATCAGGGCACAGAAGGCAATGGCACAGAGACTTCGCAGGAAGTGTAGTCTATGTCACTTCTTCAAGCCGACCGACTGTCGCAAAACTCTGGGACATCCGCCGCTTTCTAAGGAGTCAGCTACCGACTCTGGGGGCAAAGCAGAAAAGATGTTGTGACAGTCAGAGCTGTCTTCCAAGATCCCTGCCACGCACCACATGTCAGGCCCTTCTAACCAGGCTACATACAATTGGGGCAAAGCCTAACGCTGGCCCAAGATTGAGAAGACGAGACCTGTCCACACAACAGAGGCACCCCTGTCAAGAAATTGGATGCCTTGGCCTCGGCTCGACATGACCTCAGTCTGCAAGAGTCTGCAAGTCCGTCGATCCTAGATGTTTGTGGCTTTCCAGCCATATTCTGCCGAGCCAGATACGACAAGCTTTTGCTTGTGTTTTGTCTGGAGACCTCGGCTTTAGCCTGACAATTGACGGTGCACACTGTGGTACACTGCGGAGTTAGAGTCGTCTCAGGTTTGCATGCCTTCTCGTGCACTTGTGCCAGCGTCTGGGGTGTTTCCTTGCTGAGATCTTTTCGCCTGCCATTGGGCTCCACGTGCAAATGTGACACCTGTCGAAAGCGAGATGTTTTGAGCTATCCCTGCACCTTTTTGACTTCCATCCACCATTGCGGAGGTCAAGCACATCCTGGACAGCAAGATACAGCGAGAAACATGGCCCCCAACTTGCAGTTGCATCGGAACCACCTGAAGAAGGCAGCGGACACGTCGCGGCACGGCTTGGTCAGAACATGCCCGAACAACCTGCCAGATTGTTCCAGGGTAGGGAGGCTATTGACATAATCGAACCACGGTCTGGCAGCCCAATGGAAGATGAACGCACAAAAGTTTTGAACCAGTAGGCCCCACACAATGAAAAGAAGAATGATGATGAAACGATGTCAAAGCTGTTGACAGGATGCATGACGTTGACAGCTCCGTCTTCTCTGAAATCATCTGCGAAATCAAATTTAGACACACGCAACGAACTGATCAAGGAAGACATTACTCGCTCTCCGTATATGACCATCTTGAACAGTTTCGACTTTCGTGAACGCTTGAAGCATCCTTTGCCCTTGCAGGGATTTGGGCAGCATCTTCCCTCAAATTGCCAAAACTCAGGTTTCCTGCTGCAGGTGATAGTCCGTTCTTGCTTGGTTTGTCAACGAACAGTTGAAAGTCCCCAAATCCCTGCCTCCTCAAACACCATTTCCAGCTCATGGTGATGCTTCCAACCTGGCTTCTGTACAGAGGATGTCATGGGCCCTCCGAGCACAACTTCAGACATGAGAGCATGACTTGGATCATCTAGGGCAACACCGACTGTTTCCTGGGGAAAGCACGGGGAAGCACGAAAACAAGATCTGGCAAGGCTCTGAAACCTTGGAGATCTTGAGGCTCATGCCAGGAAGGTCGCGAGCGTCTCCAAGCGCTCACTGCGCACTGCAGGGTCATCTCCTGACTTCGGCTGCTTCAACTTCTTGAGTGGACGAAGCAATCCAAGCCCTGTGCTGGCTAGCTCCGACGCCACTGCGATGGCGATCTTTGGCGCCAGCCTTTGTATGAAATAGGCTTAGGCCCTGCTGCATCCAACGACTGCTTTAGGCTGAGTCCGCAACATTCCATGTCGAATGAGCTCTCCAACTAAACGGATGTTACCCAGCATCTTGGTCTTGTACTTAACCTGCACACACAAACAGCAAGATACCTTGCACGCAACAAAACCTCGTGAATCTTTGCAAGCGTGTGTGCCTGAGCTTCATAGAGGTCATCACCTGTTAAACCATCAAAGCCTTCTGGCGGCTCTAGGTACCTTGCACAGCCAGTGTTTGGCAGGGTGCTGCGCCATGAGTTCGAGCACGGCAGGGCACTGCTCAAAAGAGGACTGACATTGATTTAGGAGGACGCGCTTGAAGTTGCTTTGCGACCTCTTGCACGCGCCACATCCACTTTTCACATTACTTTCCACTGCAGCTATTTTAGCTTCCAGCTCGGCGCCATCTATGCGTTCATTATCGGTGAGCCACTTGTGGAGCTTGACGCACAAGCCCACATACCTCCGTGCAAACCATGTCTGAACAGGTGGGTTCGGAGGCAACGCTGTAAAGGCACATATTGATGAAGTGGTGCTGCGTAGTGGCCTTCCAGCATTGACATAGACGAGATGCTAAGGGCTTCGTCTCGGGGCCTTCTCGAACACCAATTGCATTAACAGGGGGATTCCATGGTTGGGACGGTCTGATTGCGAGACCAACTCTATGATTTGCTCAGACCTTGTCACAGGCGACATGCCAATGAGTGAACTCAGATTAAATTGAAGACGTAGGTGTCCGACAGGGTGTCAAATTTTTCTACCTCAGAGCATGAAGCCAATCGCGTTTTCGTCTTGAACCTTCAGCTTCCCTGAAGCACGAGGCATGCACCGTGAGCTTGTTCAGAATGGATCTCACATTTTTTACGAAGGAGTCGTCCGAGTTTTCTTTGCTCAAAGCCTGCCAACAAAGCAACCCATCCGTCTGCTAGCTTCAACGAGGCCATCAAATCCTCCACATTGCTGACTGCAAGGGGTTGACAAAACCGCAGAATTTGGCTGCTCTTGCATAGAGAGGGCAGCAAATTCCACTGCCACGACTCCAGCCTTTCTCCGAGCAATTTGCGCTGCCCAGGAAGTCTCGCTAACCTCAACAAGCTGACAAAAAAGGCGTCCTAGCAGGGCTCTTGGGACAAATACCCGCCTCAAGTTTGTTTGCTGAAGCTTGGCTAGCATCACCTTGCTGTGTGTTCTTGTCGGGCTTTTGCTTCGCATCCTGAAGAAGCCAGAATCTGAAGAAGCATAAAGACTTGGTCAGTGCAGTTGGATTCAGAGCGACCACGGCGCCGGGTAAGAAGGTTTTGCAGCATCCCGTCAAGCAAAAGAAGCTCAAAGGATCTGAGACGGTGATGTAGCTGCTGCGACTCATGACCGGACAGCGTGCAGAGCGTCAGTCTTCCAATGATCAAGATTTTCAACGCACAAGCCACTGACTGGACTCGTGTTGCTTCGTGACTTGCAGTTCCTTCTGAGACAGCAACACTGTTCGAAGAGTTCAGCGGCCAATCAACGCTTTTGGCTAGTCTCCATATAGTCCAGTTGGAGTTTGGTTTACGTTGACATCTCCAAGCTGCAATCGAGTTGTCACAAGCAAGGCAAAATGTAGAGACACCTGCTGTGATAAGCTCCGATTGCTACAGTACGCACTCTGCCACACATCGCGGTGATATGTGAAAACACATTGTCTGACTTTGTCCTGAGTTCGGCTGCGAGCCTTTGATGCCTCGCCTTATTTGCAACACCCTCCATGCAGCTGAAGAACGGTCCAAGTTGCTGCATCCATGACTTGCTCAAGCTTACTGCCTTATTGTGAGACAGGCTGCCAGAACGCGATGCTCTCCATTTATCCTCCAAGCATCAGCTGCAAAAAGGACTGTTACGGCTGCTGATTGCTTCTCAACAGGCCTCTCCATTTTGCTCAGATTCCTCGCGGCGACGCAAGAAATCCTTGCTGAGATGCGCATGTCTATCAGGGCTGTCATCATGCAAGATCACTGAGTTGGAGACTGGAACATCCTCTTCGGAGCCCACCTGTATGCAAACAAAAAGGAACTGACACATGTACAAACGACATGCTTGTGCCAATCCTAGGAAATATCGTGAAATTCCCATCCATCATTGTCCGCCTTCTCACATCGAGGCAGCTGATGACAGGTGGGCTCTGCCCTGCCAACAATTCGCCTGGCATTGGAGCTCTTAGACCACTCTTCCCAACACGAACAGAGGCACCTCATGGTCAGCATGAACTCTTTTTCATACTTAGGAGCACAGCCGTCGGCTTCGGATGCCTGTAGGCAGCATCGACACGACATGGCCCAATCTTGCAATCATCTTCTACATCTGCCTGCTGCTCCTCGTTAGACGACGGTGGCACAAGCTCCTTTGACAACAGACAGGTGAAAGCGCCTTACAAGTGACAATATTCACGACCCGCTAGTTTGCTTGCCTCACATGCCGCAACCAGATCCTCGCCATGACGGTTTCTGTCCTCCCCAATAGTGGGATTGTTTCATGAAAAACTGCCATGAATGCAAGAAAGCTACAGCCGCCTCCGCACAAGAGACTTCCTCCGCACCTAGCGCTTGGTCAAGCACAGCTGAACGAGGAGATGTTGTGATGTGACAGCGGTGAAACACATGAAGAAACATATTCAGACAACTGCAACCTGCGCTCAACATCAAGGCATCTGATTTTCTGTCACTGAACCAGGATACGACAGGTACACGTCTTAAACCCATGGAAACACGCAAGCCAAATCCTGGCCATGCCTGGCCTTCAGTGCCTCCAACCGGAAACGAAGTCGGGATCTCCGAGGTTTTGTCTTCCGCCCGCTTTGTGGGCGCAGCGTGCTCAGCTTCACAAGGAACGTTGGCCGAGGTGCTCGGGACGCTGGCATCAAAGCCTTCATCCTGCATGGCAGGAAAAAGGGGTCATCATTTGGATTCCACCAGACTTCCAAACCAGAAACGTTTATCTAAGTCAAAGCCCCCAGACCTCCGAGAAAGAATCGAAGTCATCATCGTCATCCACAATCTCATCGCGTGAGACCTACCGACAGCTCTGTTAGCGCCAATCTCGCGTAGAACTGCTCTGCCATCTTGGACCCCTGCCACGTTGAGTCCTTCACGCTGAGCGATCTCAGGGCCTGAGAGTCAGGTTCAGGTTCGGGTTCTCAGGCTTCAGGTTTCAGTGTTTATACTTTATACCGTTGGCAAATTTTAGCCTAAATCCAAACCACCCCGGCGCACCCACATGATCCTCGGCGCACCCACATGATCCCCTCGCAATGGCAGCTCGCAAAGCAGGCAGGTCGGCACGTTTTCTTTCTGCGCACTCGAGCTCTGCTCCACGCTTTCAGATAAATGAAGGCACCCCTGTCAGTTCGCACCTGTAATCTGAAGTTCTTCGAGTCTCACACTCTCGTGTGCTGACCAATGCTGCATCATTAAGAAGACCAACTCTGCAAGTTGCCGCAGGAGTATAAATGAACGCATTCTTGCGGCATGTGCCACTAATGCTTCCAGCATTCGAGGATGTACAACCCTTAGCTAGGTTTCTGGCTAAAACGGAGAAGAAAGGGGTCTCGCAAGACATTGCGACTCTTCAAGGCAAGTCAAAACCATTTTAAACACAATCTCTGTCAGCTTCCCATACAACGGACCAATTCTTGTGATTTCTATGTGCCGCGATTTCTCGGGAAGAGCAGCCAGTGCTTTAAAGCTTGAAATCTGCACGCATTTGACTGAGCAATCCACACCACACATTGTGGAAAGTACGCTGCACCAAGACCATGCACAAGGAGCTGGTGCAGGAAGCCTTCCCTTTTCACGCGTAGCTACAAAACTTGGCTGAAGTACTGCGGAGTCATGCACACGCACTCACAGCTGAGCATGGATGCAAGGCTTGGATTTCTACATCTCCTATAATTTGTTTTAAGGCTTTTGAGGAGGGGGTTAAGACTAGGCCTTGACAACCAGGCTCAGCTCGAAAAAGCAGTAGCCGTGAACAGCGTCACTAGAACTGGCACCCTTTCAGGAAGCAGCCCGTGCTGATTGGCTAGCTGGGTGTAGGGCTCGTCACGGCTCAACACCCGCCACTGTGCTTGCCCAGAAGGAAGCTGTACACGGCAGAAGGTCGTACGAAAAGGGTACTCAGCAGAAGAAAAGCGAGGCTCGGGCGTCCGGAAACTCTTGGCATCGAAGGCCACGTTGATGCCCATGCCCTCCACGGCATGCCACCCACGCTGCTCGCCAAGGCTCAAGAGGTGTCCGAAGACCGGGTCTGAAGCAGCCAGAGCTTGTCCAGGTAGAGCTGCTAGACTAGACGGGGAGGAGCGCTTGCCCTTCGCCACTTGCTTAACAAAGTCAGGACTGCACTGCACACACCAGGAGCCGTCCTTCAGGATCTTGCGAAGGTGGGTCAGGTCCATCTCTTTGGTGCCGGCATCGGCGAACATGTTGGCTGTCGAGGTCCAACGCAACCTGGTGTTGGGCCGTCGAAGGGTGGTCCTCATCCAGGCTATCGTGAAGGCAAGGCTCTTCTGGCTGCCAAAGGAGCTCGTGTCGGAGGAAGCCTTGTCAAAGACGTCCTTGGCGTCCACAACGACCGTGAGGGGGACGGAGTTCAGGGAGCGGTCCACCTAGTCTCGGCTAAGCTGGAGCCCACGAGCCGACGCCACAAAGCTCCTGCAAAGGAGACCAACGTCGAAGGCTTCTTCAGCTCCAAGGGTCTCCGCGGCATACGAAGACCGGCATACTCGGGGTATGCGGTGGCTCCGCATGTCCAGGACGTTAAACGTTCCCTTCTCGCCCCGCATCAGGGCTTCGTCAGCAAGGAGGACGAAGTAGCAGCTTTGGCTGTAGACCTTGTCCAAAGGCGAGGCTGCCGAAGTTCCACTTGCTGTCACGTTTCCCAAGGAAGAGTCAGTGACCACCAAGAGGCCGCCAGCGAACGGGCCCACAGGCCGGAAGACCAAGTCGTAGTGTCCTTGAACTCCTTGCAGAGCAAGTTGGCGCGCAGGAGCGTTCCCACAGTTGGAGTCTCGCCCTGTAGCGACGACACGGGGAAAGCCAGGTCAAACCGCAGCTGTGCTGTAAGCCACTGGAAACTGCCCAGGAGGGCCCGAAGTTGCTTGTGCTCAGCAGGCGTCAGCGGAGAAGTCAGACTCCCTCGACGCAGCTTGGAGACGTGGATCTCCTTGAGGTTGGAGTGGTAGGCCTTCATGGAGAGGGTGATCGTACCATCAGGTCGACGGTCGAACTGTTTCCCACACCACACGAAGCTGTCTCGCTTCACCTCACGGAATCCAAGCTCCTCACCGATAGCCATCAGTGAGCTTTCAGCTTCCTTGTCTCCACCAACCAAACAACAGGTCGTCAACGTGAGACACGATGACGCCTTTGAGCTCGCTGCGGTCGCTGTTCCAAAGGAAGCAAGTGGCCTGGTCCAACGGTGACCGTTGCCACCCGCGAGTCTCTAAAGCTCTGGCTAGTCTGAGCCACCACTCGCGCGGCGCATCGGCGAGGCCGAATACGCCTTTGAGTACTCTTGCGAGACACCCCTCTGGAAGAGGTATAGAGGGGGAGATCTTTGGATTTGTACGGGTAATGTACAATTCTCTTGCTATAAAGGGGTCTCCCTTAAGGAACGCCGCCTTGACGTCGCAAGAAAGAAGGCTCCAAAGTCTTCCCTTCCAGGCTGTCAGTGCCAAGAGCAAGTGCTGACTCAAACGAGAGCCCGTGGGAGAGTCCCGGCGGATTTCGCCGTCCAAGTTCGCACGGTCTTGGAATCCGGGGACGACTAGACGCGCAGAAGCATCTATTGGCAGTGGGCAGGCAGCTGTCCGAATCCCATCCGATTTATCTGTCAGGACGTATCGGGGGGTGAGTATTCGGTCTAGCTCTCCTCTCTGCGCAAGGCTTTTGCGTTGGGGTCCTGGTTGTAGGCGTCACAAGCCTCGGCCACCGTGTTCCGCATGTTCGCGTCGCCGATCACGACCTTGCCCTTAACCACAGCGGAGACCAAAGCTTTGAGGATCCCGCCGCTGCGTTCGGCCAGGCCGTTCTGGCAGGGCGCTTGGACAGCCGCGTGCCAGAGCAAAACACTGCGGGAGGCGCACCAATCGGCGAACTCTTGGCTTACAAATTCCCTGCCCTGGTCTGCCACAATCTGACGAGGAGCTCCGAGAGGAGGCAGCCACATTTGAGTCATGAAGTTGATCACGGACTGGCTCGAACGGTCAGGGATCAGGCCGCCAACTGGAATCGCGACACATAGCACGGGCCACCGGAAAGGCATTGCCCAGGGCATCCTCCATGATCATAAGGTCCAGGTGAGCTTGTTCTCCAACGGCTCGAGGTGGCGGCAAGCTTCCAACTCGTCTGCTCTTTGGGGCACGCCTCTGCACAGACGTCGCACTTGAGTTCTCGAGCAGCTTGTACCGCAGCAGGAGGAGCCCCAGAAAGAAGTAAGGCTCGGGCAAGACGCTTCGGTGGCCGGTGCCCAGTTGCTTCATGAACTCGCCGCACCGCGCTGAGCGTGTCGCCGGGGTGATCTCGCCAACGAAGGGGTCGCCGAGGTCTTCATCTTCAGACTCCGCCGCGTCGCCGTCCGGAGCGAAGTCGTCCGTCTCGGCGAAGTCGCCCGTCAGCACGTCGCGGTGAAAGTCGACGGCGCCGGTGGAGCTCACTGAGCTCACAATCTCATAGCACTCATTCACAGAGATCTCCTTGTTCAAGGTGGCGGACTCGAAGTTGAACTGGTCCTCGAAAGCTTCCACAAGTGCCCTCGAAAACTCCTTGGTGTAATGTCCGGCTGCCGTAGTCACCCGACTGCCACCCATCACAGGTTCATGCTCGTGTTTCCCGGCGCAGCGCATGCCCAAAAACTTGCTCACCACGGCCTGGCTCGATGTCACCAAGCGGGTCGGCTTTCGATGTCGAAGGCCAGAAGGGCCACGAAGATTAAAGCGGCACATGTCCACGGTGACCTCGAAGCAGGTGGCGCGAAGAGCTCGAAGGGACGGAAGCTTCCAAGCAGCGCTGCCCAAAGGATTTCGAGCAGAAAGTGCCTCCCCGCCTTATTTTGTTCTCGCGCCAACTGCGCCGCAAACCTGACGAGAGGCAAGGCCTGTGCACGCAGCTGTTGCAATCGGTCGGGGGGCGTGGACAAGTTTTGCAGCTGCGACCAAGGGCCGCACGGAAAGGCCAGGACCAAGAAGTAGGGCTTGGTATCACGCACTTGTTGCAGAGCACGTTCCCAACCAGTGTCCAAGGTCAGCGTAGGGCCAGTCGTGTGGCCACGTTGCCGGGCCATCCGAGTCACAGGCTCCGTGTCCGAGTAGATCTCGGTGCAAATGGTCGGAACTTCCATGACAAATACGTCCTGCATCCCCTTGGCATAGGAGGCAAAGAACTCAGCTGTCATGACGTCACGTAAGCGGCCTGGGGCGCAAGAGACAAGCAGCTGATCACAGCGGTGTCGCTCCCAGGCTTGGGTGATCAGCTGCTTCTGCCCGTTCTTCAGTCGAGGCAGCCCCGATGATCCAGACGAGGATCGCGGGGAGGTTGAAGTGGCGGCATGGTCGCCGAGGTGACCGGCAGCGTCGTTGATGTTGGCGACGGTGGTCCGGCCAGCTCCCAGCCTTGCTGCTCCTCCATCGTGACGTCTGGGTTCTGCGGTTGCCTGGCCATCACGCGCTGGAGGAGTTGGGCGGACATGCCTTGGTATCGCTGGTCCATGGCTTCCAGTCGGCTGTCCATCTGCTGCACAAGTAGCTGTTGCATGGCAGCATTCTCTACAGGGTTTGAGGCGGGAGCCGTCGAGGAAGCCGGCAGGTCGGCAGTTGTAATCGTGGAGGACGTCGGGCGTGAGCTCGGCAAAGGCGCCGGGGATGTTGACGTAGTCGACGATGGCTTGCTCGAAGTCGTTGGCTCGGCCTTGGGCATCTGCAACAGCAGGGCGTCGATCATCGGCTTCAGCTTCTTCTTGAGCGTTGGGATGGTGTCCTTGTCGTCCACGGTCACGCGCAGAAGCGCCGCAAGCTTGACCAAGTCCGCCTTGAGCGTCGGGAAGCCGCCCTTTGGTCCAAGAAGGCTTCGAGCAACTTTGAGTCGATCTGACTCGGCTGCCACCTTGGCTGCTTCTTCCTTGAGGCCAGCGTTCTTGAGCCGAGTCGCCCGGCCAGGTATGTACTTGGCTGCCAGCATGCCCTGCAAGATCGGGTCCTCCAGGAACGCGAAGTTGAGTCCAACGCGGCTTCCAAACCACGTCATCGAAGCGGGGATAGCAGCCAGTCTCCACCATAGCGGTGGCCTGCGATCGCCAAGCATCCGGCGAGGCCACAGAGGGATATGGAAACGGTAGCCAGCGCAAGCCAGGATGCCGCACCAACCAGAGTCGAAGTCCTTCGCGGTTCCAATCGTACCTTGCCACCAATCGAAGAGCAAACCTTCGCCATCTGACGCCGGCCTGGTCGAGGTCGGGATCCAGAAAATGGTAGGTCGTCCTTTGAGGTGTCGGAGCGGCACTCGGTCGAGGAAGCGAAGCCATGATGCCAAAACGGGTCAGGAGCACAAGCTTGGGCCGAAGTAGCCAGCGCATCACGGTATTCAAAGGCCATACGCCCCACAGACAAGCTGGTTGTGATTGTGGTCCAAACTACCGCTCGAAGGACTGTCAGACATGCGTGGTTGAAGCAGCTGCTAGGTCCAGGCTTGGCACCCCAAACTAAGTTCCACCACTCCATCTGGCCCAAGTGGGCGACGACGGCCTTTTACAGCGTCTGGCCAAGCTTCCGGTATCAGGCGCAAAGCTAAGTGACCAGCAGCCAGGCGCTCAAGTTGCATAGGGTGGCCGCCAAAGAGCTTGCAGAGCAACGCGCGGTCAGCGAAGTGGATGACAGCCTTCAATCCGTCCAGGAAGTCGCGGCCCAGCAGCAAGCCCAGGGAGTCAACCGGCACGGCCGAAACCCATACACAGACGAGGTGCTCGGAGATGACGATAGGAATCCGCCAGCGAACCGTCGAAGAGAACTCCACCGTTCCCAAAGCGGAACGTTTCGGCTTCGGGCTTCTGAGTCACCAAGGCCAAGATCTCAGGAGGGGCGCTTGCCAAGGCACCGATGTAATCCTCGAGCCACGCAATGCCCGCGCAAGTCCGGTTGCACGCACTGCCCAGGGCTCCCACAAGACCCTTGTCAGCAGCAAAGGTTCCCGACGCCAACGCCTCCGCCGAAGAAGCCGTAGTCGAAGAAGAAGCTCGCAGCGCCGCCAACAAAGATAAGCTCGAGACAGCCAGCACCTCGTGGTCTCCAGCCGCGGGCTCCACAACGGAGGTCTCGTCGGTCCCTCCGGCCTCTGCCAAGCGAACCTGTCTCGAAGCCGCTTTGGCTTTGGGCCGTCCAAGTCCAGCACCGGGCTTTTGACATTCTGGGTCGCCGGCCCAGTGTCCGCTCAGGCCACAGTCAAAGCAGGCATGCTTGCCCGACATTTTCTTGGAAATGACGCTGGCCTTTGCCTTTGGCTGACCACCAGAGCCCTTGCCGCCACCAGCCGACGCAACGGCCGGCCCTTTGAAGCCACGATCCTTGCGCACCTCAGCCAGGCGAGTCCGAGCTTCGCGCATGCTCACGAGCTCGGCGGACGTCTCGATGCCGGACTCCAGGGCCTCCAAGTGGGCAGGGTCAATGCCTTCCTCCTCGGCTTGGGCGATCTCGTCGGCCAGCTGCTCCACCTCAGTCTGCAGGACTTCCTCCAGAGTAGGGGCTTCACCCTCCTCCGCGTCGAGGTCGCCGTCCTCCAGGCGCTCGTCGTCGCCGAGGTCATCGCCGTCAACTTGCTCAGCCACATGCGCTTGCCGGGCTGGAGCTCGATTAAATGATGGCCTCGACGCCGCCGAAGAGAAGGAGGTAGAAGGCCGTCTTGCCGAAGCCGCCGATGAAGAGGCCGCCGCCGAAGTCGGAGCAGCGCCCTGTCCAAAGATTCTCCTCACAGTCAGCTTTCCAGAATGACCGCCTCAATCAAGCTTTCGATACAAAGGGTCCTGGGTATGTAGATCCCGAAACAAGCGCAAGCACTCGCCCTCGATGGTGGAATAGCCCTCAGCGCCCTGCAAGGCGGTCTCCAACAGCTGCTTCCTTAGAGCATCCAGGCCCAACTTCTCCTTGAAGAACCAGCCGAGCTCGCCATCGGGGATGACGACGCCCTCCGCCTTCAAGTCGGAAACAGCCGTCCGCAACCTGCTGCCATAGTCGGCTACGCGCTCCCCAGCACGCCTGCTCAAGTGAAGGTAGAACTGAGTCCGGAGCTCGCCACGTTTGTCCAAAGTGCTCTGGCCATTCATGGTCTCAAGGGCTTGCATCAGCTTATTAAGTCCAGCCAAAGGATCGTCGTCCTGATGCACAAGTACCTCGCCGGTCTCCGGGTCAGTCAAGGTCTCCTCCTTCTGATACTGCAGCTCGTCCGGGGAGAACTCCTCGCCTCTCTGCCTGACGGTGCCGGACTGACGAAGCAGCCACCGAGCAGCTAAGTTGTAGCGCTTGGTGTTCTCCAAATCCAGCGAGCTCGTCCACCAGGCCATCTCGCGCTTGAAGGTCCTCCAAGTAAGAGGACTCCCGTCCCAAGTCGGCACTCGGGACCAAGCGCCAGAACCCTCATAGTCCTTCTCCGCCATCTCGAATTCGGCAAAAGTTCGTGAAACCGCTTGGCTCGCCGCCCTTCTGTCCAGCTGCTCGTCGACGCTTGTCGAAGCCAAAGAACATAATCGGGTAAAGGAGGGCCACGTGAAACGTGTTCAGGATGGAGTAGCGCAGCAGCAGCGCCCAGCGGCAGCGCACAGCGGCTCGCACCCAAAGCAGCAGCCAGGCACCTGCTCGACTCAGGCTCCGCTGCCACTGTGGAAAGTACGCTGCACCAAGACCATGCACAAGGAGCTGGTGCAGGAAGCCTTCCCTTTTCAAGCGTAGCTACAACACTTGGCTGAAGTACTGCGGAGTCATGCACACGCACTCACAGCTGAGCATGGATGCAAGGCTTGGATTTCTACACACATTGACTGTCTTGTCGAAACCCCCACTCGACGAAGGAAATGTCAGGCCAAAAAAGCTTTGGTTTGTGCATTTTACAGCAAAAAAATGGATTCAGGCTTTTTATGTGAAGCCATAAAATACTTGCAGCCAGCTCTGCAGTTGAAATTCTTGGAAGAAAATGGGTGATTCGGTCCTTCTGCTATTGAGGGGATCTATCAACACACCTCATTGCGGGAGTCTAGGATTTGATGACCCTGAGGTGCGCCTGGGCGGCTTGGAAGCGCCGGCGTAGGGCCTGAAGACACTTGCATAGTTGGCAACATCTTCCAGTATCTTCCAGATGTCTTGCATTGCCCAGCCTGCATCAGCTTCTTCAGCTTCAGGCTCGGAATCACTGCTGCGAGATGAACTGCAGTGCATCAATTTCATCCCACCACACTGGACCACAAAGATATGCAAAAGCAAAAACAAATTCTTCAGGTGGGCACTCCGTCGAATATGCATCATCGTTAAACCAGCAGGTGGGTGACGAGGCGACTCCTGTCCAAGTGTCCCAGGCTTGAAATTGGACTCGCCGAGGGTTCAGCTCATTCTAAAGGTCCAGTACCTGCCCACCCGGCTACGTCAGGGCTATTTGCGGAGTAGCCTTGTAGAGCCGGCTGACTAGCGACAGATTCGAAAACCGGAACTCCACCTCTGTCGAACTCAGATGCTTACCAACGTTCCAGCTTCTGTCTCCTGGCAGCCCACATCATCAAGCGGGGTCAGACCAAACTTCTACAGGTCCTGGCCAGGCACCGTTGCCGTCGTGGCTCCAATGCGAGCCCTCAAAAACGGCAGCACAGACAGCAGGCGCAAGATAACTTGGATCAGAAAGGCCGGTGCATTCCAGGCCCATGGTTGACGACCTGGAAAAAGCGAGTCATGAGACGTGTGTGTATTGTACACGCCACGATACGCCACATCAACCGCACGGCCTCCTTCTGGCAGAAACTCCGCAGCTGCCGGCGATAGGGTGACAGCCGCTTTTGTCGACCGGCTTTGGGCAAAAGGGGCGGCTGGCCTGTGGTCAAGTGGACTGTCGCTTCTAGAAGTGTGCTTTCAAGCATACTTTGAACAGTAGGGCAAGGGGGGGGAGTCGTCCTTTTACGCTTTAGAGATGCTGCCCTTTCGGGTCCACTAGCATTGGCCCACAAATGGCCGCTGGGTATGCCAAGCTCCCCACACAAATTCTGAAGCTCCTGCGGAAAGGGAAGTGTTTTTCCCGTTGCGCGCATCCTGAGAACTACTTTTTCGTGAGCAAGGAGGGTAGCCGTAGCAACTTGTAAAGCTGCTTTTTCGGCGGTAAAACACTGAGAGCTCCACACTCATCCAACGTAGCTTTTCGCTTATGGCGCGGACGGTATCAATCCTGAGCCAGGTTCTCGTGCTTGAACTAGCAGAGTACAGCAGCTGTCGTTGCCCTGGCCTCTCATATAGATTGCCTTCGGCAACCATGTACGCCAAAGCTTCTGTGACGGCTTTGTCCGTCCACTCATTCACTGAAGAGCCAACAACATGCACGTGCAGCAACGCAACAGGAGAGCACGATGCTGCAATTTAAAACTCAAAACGTGTTCCCAAAGGAGACTTTCAAGAATGCGGTGACCCCCGTGGCACGCAGTAAAGACACTCTGTGTCATGTCTCCATGACAGTTGCGTTTGCAGGACTAGCTTTTTTCTCCGCAAAGCTGGAAAGGCCCAGCACGAGCCTCCATATGCGCGTTAACATGTAAGGAAACGATGAAAGACCTGGCAAAAGCCTGAGGAATATGGACAAAGGAGCACCCCCGAGTCCAAAGAAACCAAACAAATTCGCACATTACAGGATCACACCACGGCTTATGTGCAGCAATGTACCACAGGTACTGTGACAACTCAAAAATGCTCGTGTAGACAGCACTAGTAGCCGAGACTTGCTGCATGTTTTGCAGCTAGCATTAACTCAGCTTCTGAAACTTGAACTCTGCAGGGGTTCAAGATGCCCGAAGCAGTTCCGCGTTGAACTTTTGCAGCAAGGTCTGCACCAAATGTCACACGCTGAAATGTGGCCCCAAATGCACTTGTTGCACTGACAGCCTGCCAGTGAGGTGACGTCAAGCATCCTTTGTGCTTGGATTTGACCTGTCTCAGGAAACGTGACACCAATGCACTTCTCCTGCAATAGGGACCTCGGACAGCGCGCGATCGAAGCCGAGACCCTCAAACTCCATGAGGTACCTTGCTGCACCACTGACAGCACATACCACGCTGCGCGTACATGCATGCATCTGCGTGCGGCAGGGCACGCACAGATCAAGGCAGCGCTCCGAGACAGGCCCTCAAACAAAAGCCCCAAAGTTCCAAAGCTCAGAGAAAGCGAGGGCTGCCCTGTAGAACCTGCACGCAGTGTACGAGGATGCTGCCAGAGCTCCGCACCTCACAAGTCACCAAAACAAAAGAATCATGCACGCAGCAGTTGCCATCCAAGTCCTGCACAGCACCATGAATGTATTTTGTAGCTCCTCTCAACGTTCTGAATCTTTGCCTGAGGCCAATCGCAGTCTTCCTGGGCTAGGAAAGGTTCCGCAGGTCTCGGACCGAGTGAGGCTTTGTGTCTCATCTTCTCGATCTTGCCAGGGCAGCAGCAGGTACCTAAAACACAAAAGTCAAAGCACGAGTCCAAGTCAGGGACAGCGGAGCCGAAGCCGGGCTTCAGCTGGGTCACTGGACCCCTTCCGACTCGTAAGCTGGAGGCACCTTTTGTGCCTCAAGAGACTGCCAGAAGGTCACAAACGGTCAAGGCACGCATGGCAGTCTGCCTCGATGGCGCAGTTGACTATGTGAGTGATGCCCAGCCTCAAAAGGCCAAGGCTGCCACATGTCAAAGGAAGAAACAACTGAGGAATGTACTTCTTCAGCATAGGCCAGTACGCAGCATCCGCCATGTTTCCGACGTACCTCTTCTTTTTGTGCAAGGCATTGTCACACTGGGTAAAGTTCTGCAGGAGATGTGGACACCAGCATAAGACGTCTTCAGTGCATGCGCTGTCGGTTCCACAAGGTCACAAGCGTGGTCGAATCAGATCCGTTCGAAGGCCGGTCATGGTAGCAACGAAGCCCTGGCAGGAGGAAAGCTACTACGCTGCGGCACATCATGTGTAATGCCCCCAGGATTGCACAGGTCATCGCCTGCCTCATCTCTGTAACCGTAGAACTCAGCTATTCTCTGCTGATCCTTCACAAAGAAATTGAAAAAGTCAAAGCAATGATATCAGCAGGTCCCTGCCCTACAAGACAGTTTAGCATCAGTTAAAATACCTTTCCCCAGTTGGGCAGTTGAGCGGGCATGGCTCCAGGGCATTAGCAGAATATAGCCCTAGCCTTAAGGGGGGGGGACC